AGCTGCTAGTGATCAGCCATCTTTCAGGGCTGATCTTAAATGTAAGAGCTAATGTGATATAATTCTCAGAAGAAAGCATAAAGATGCGTCTTCATGACTTTGGATTTGGCAGTTGATTGTTAAATATGACACCAAACTCATGAGCAACAACAACAAAATAGATAAAATGAATTTCAAAATCAAAACTTTTTATGCTTCAAAAGACACTATTAAGAAAATGGAGACATCCCCCAGAATGGAAGAAATATTTGCAAATTATATCACTCATGAGGGACTTGAATCTAGAATATATAAATAACTTACAATTCAATAAAAAAGAAAAATAATCCAATTTTAAAAGTGAGCAAAAGATCTAAATAGATATTTCTCCAAAGAAGAATATACAAGTGGCTCATAAGCACATGAAATGATTCTTGGCAAATTTAGGCATCAGGAAATGCAAATCAAAACTATAATGAGATATCATTTCATACCCACTAGGATTACTATAATAAAACAGTCAAATAACAAGGGCTGGTGAGGATATGAGGAAACCAGAATTCTTATAACATTGTTGGTGGGTTTGTTAGTTCATTTGCATTGCTGTAAGGGAATACCTGAGGCCAGGTAATATATAAAGAAAGTAGGTTTATTTAGCTCACAGTTCTGCAGGCTGTATAAAGATGGCACCAGGTTAGGCCCAGAAATCTTTCAGCCATGGTGGAAAGCAAAGGGGCAGCTAGCACATCACATGGTGGGAGCAAGAGAGAGAGAGAGAGAAGAGGAGGTACCATGCTCTTTTAACAACCACTTCTCACTTGAACTAACAGAGAGAGAATTCCTTTGTTACCATGAAGACAGTATGAAGACATTCACGGGGGATCCTGCCCAATGATCTAAACACCTCCCACCAGGCTTCATCCCAACATTGAGATTTGGAGGAGACAAACATCCAAACTCTATCAATGGGAATGTAAAACGGTACAACCACTTTAGAAAAACACTTCACTAAGTTCCTCAAATTGTTAAACATAGAGTTACCATATCACCCAGCAATGTCACTCCTAGAAATATATTGAAGAGACCTAAAAACAAATGTCAGCACAAAAATTTGTTCATGAATATATATAACAGAATAATATCCCAAATGTGGAAGCAACCCAAATGTCTATGTGATAAATGATAAAGAAAATGTGCTGTATCCATACAATGGAATACTATTCTGCAATCAACAAAAAGAAAGCATTAATACATGCATACTGCGAGAGAGATGATTGTTGAGATCGTTAAGCCCAGTGAAAGCAGCTAGTTATAAAAGATCACATATTAGGTGATTCTGTTTTTATGAACTCTCAAGAAGACGCAAATCAATGGAGACAAAGTTGATTAGTCATTGTTTAGGGATAGGGTGGTAACTAATGGGTACAGTTTCTTTTTGAGGTGATGAAAATGTTCTAAAATTCACTATAGTGATGAATGCACATAACTATTAATATACTAACAATCATTGAATTGTTTTTTGTTTTGTTTTATGAGATGGGGTCTCACCCTGTCACTCAGGCTGGAGTGCAGTGAAGCAATCTCAGCTCACTGCAACCGCTGCTTCCAGGGCTTAAGCGGTTCTCCAGCCTCAGCTGGATTCTCCCAGCTCAGAGTAGCTGGGACTGCAGGTGCATGCCACCAACTCCTGGCTAATTTTTGTGCTTTTTGTAAAGATGGGATTTCATCATGTTGCCCAGGCTGGTCTCAAATTCCTGAGCTCAAAGCGATCCACCCACCTTAGCCTCCCAAAGTGCTGGGATTACAGGTATAAGCCACCATGCCCAGCTGAATTATATATTTCAAATGGTTAATATGTAACTTATGTGATTATGTCTCAATAAACTGTTAAAAATATTCTATTCAACTGTGTTTTTTTTTACAAAGTCATAGTACATCTCTAAAGCAAAATCAGATATAATTTGAATAATATTCTGTTTAAAATATTACAAAATCTTTAAGAGTTATAGCTAAAAGGGCTATAAAATCTGAGTACCTAAATTCATATTCTAGTTTTACTAGTTATTATTGCATAATTTGAAGCAAATTATTTAATCTGAAAAATGTGTATAATAAAAGTATCCATAATGTAAGTTTGTTGAAAGGATTAAGTGAGGTATAACATCAAGTGATCAATACATGTTAGGTTCCGTGTTATAATTATTATTGCTATTAGTTGGGCCCCAATGTTATTAACCCACTACAAATTCATTGCGTATCAGCATTTTGCAGGTACAAAGGAAATATAAACACTGTCCCAGACTCAAGGAGTTGACTCAATACTTTAAATTGCCAATCTTTTTGGTACCATAATAGTATAAGAGAAAAGACAATGAGGGCTGGAATAAACAAAGAGGGTTGTCTGGTTTATGTGAGACCTAAGTTGGAGAAGAAGGTAAATTTCAGGACAGGATGGCAACTTGAGAGAGAGAGGTGGGAGGGAAAGTATCGCTAGAAGTACTATGAAGAGACTGGTGTAGAGCGGGTGCTGGAAAGAGATGGATGACATCTTTGTATGAGTACAAAGGGCCCAGCTAGGCATGATAGGTTCAAATGTTTAAATGTTTTGGGGTATTAAGAATATTTTTTTATTTCATAATGAAGTAAAACTTTGCCATATTATCACCATTGGGTTAAAACTCATGTAGCTGCAAGTTTGAGTGTTGGAGAAGGNTATTATCACCATTGGGTTAAAACTCATGTAGCTGCAAGTGTGTTTTTTTGAGACAGGGTCTTGCTCTTTTGCTCAGGCTGGAAGTACAGTGGCACTATCGGGTTCACTGCACCCTTGACCTCCTGGGCTCAAGCAGTCCTCCCATATCTCAGCTTCCCAAGTAGCCGAGACTACAGGCACATGCCATCACACCCGCTAATTTTTGTATTTTTTGTAAAGGCAGGGTTTCACCATGTTGGCCAGGCTGGTCGTGAACTCCTGAGCTTAAGTTACTCACCCGCCTCAGCCTTCCAGAGTGCTAGGATTGCAGGCATGAGAGTTGTATTAAATAACCATTTAGTCTTGTAATTTTATTTTTTATCTCTGATTCCACTGGGCTTTTGATCAAGTGGCAAAGTCCCTCCTTTAGTGGGAAGCGTCAAAGAAAATTCACACTGGACAACTTAAGAAAGGCTTTATTTAAGTCCATTGCAAAGGGGTCAAGACCATTACAATAGAGGACAAAAATTGAACACATCTACTCCAAAACAAAAGGCTGGAGTGTTAGTGCTTGCTGAGGTGAGCTACTGGAAAAGTCTTGGAGGACATTAGCACAGAGGTTGGTTTGTGTGCCTAGGCCATCTCTGTTTGCTAATTGGTGCTTATTGAAGTTAGGCATCTGTCTTATCAGGGAGACTAGAAGATAGGGCTGCTGTTTTTCTTGGTGTTTACATTTCAAAGGGATGGTTTCCATGTCCTTGAGAAAGGTATTCCTTGGTTGTAAAAGATTTACATCTCAAAGGAGGCAGAGGAAGAATTTACAATTGCAACTTTTCTAAATTAAGTGTGTAAGAAAAGACTGGTCAGGGTCTTATAGTCAGGAAAAAATTTTCTTTCTTTCTTTCTTTTTTTAAATAGAGACAAGGTTTCACCATCTTGGCCAGGCTGGTCTTGAACTCCTGACCTCATGATCCACCTGTCTCAGCCTCCCAAAGTGGCTGGGATTCGTGAGCCACAGCGCCCAGCCCAGAAAGAAACTTTCTAAAAGTTTCGTCAAGTTGAGGGGAACATTAAGGCCATAGTGGTCAGAAGATACTTTTTTAGCGATTTTATTATGTGGAGCCAGCCCTGGAGTGCTGATAACTCTTGGAAATATATATTTTTAAAAAAAAAAATTGTGCAATGAATTGTTTTTAGGACAAAAATATTCTGTGTATAATTTCCTGTCAAATAACCTAAGGGGAGATCTTTATTTTGTTTCTCTCCGGATCTCAAGTGCTCTTTGTTATTTTTTTTCCTTATCAGAAAAACTATGCCCTGAGGCTTTTCTTCTTCAGGCAATGCTTTAATGTAAAATTGAGCTTTATGTGCTGTTACAAGTCTCATTTAACTTTCCATTTTCACTTAAGAAACCAAATGGACTTTCAGGCTGCCTTTATGCTGGTAATTAGGGCAACTTGATGTGAATCTCAATGTGTTTGAGTGGTAGCACATATTAATACATTACTCTTGTCCTCAATTTCATCACTATTCAAATGCAGCATCCTACACAGTATAAACATTTTTGACACTCAGAAGAACCTTGTGGATGACCCAGACCATACTAACTGTAGCAATTCAACTTACAATTCTATGGTGCACTATTATTTGTAATCACTTTTAAACATGTAATCTCATTTTGTCCTCCTCATAAACACAGTGGTAGGATTTATTTTACAGAGGCTGCCATACAAATGGCAAGACTTGACTCTGGCCTCTGGCTCTTAGCTTAATGTCTAGTTAGAAAATTGTGAAGAATTTTTTAGATGTAGATATTTAATCAGCCTGCCCTTGAAAATCACTACGCTTCCCTTTTTTTAAATCCTTAATTGGGATATTTCTCAAATACTCAGCTTATATTGGTGATACAATATTACGAATCCTTCATAATTATTGAAATCCATTTATTGGGTCATCTTGCCATGGGCATAAGGATTCAAGCTAAAGGCACACGATTTTGTTTAAAAATAAAGTTTATAACAAAATAAGATTAACAAAAGTACATTTATACTTCCAGAAGTAAAACTCAAAAATAGCCTGTGGCATTGAAGTCATTTCTGAAAAATTCTGCATATGCTTTGGCATATCTTAGAACTTTCTATATGTCTAATATAATGTAACAAATATTTCTATGTTTATATCCATCCAAAAAGAAGCAATTTGACACACTGTAGATATAGGCAGAAAAACGTAGTTTTGAATATTTCATTCTGAAATAGACACCAAGAAAAATCTTGTTAAATATACGTAGCCTAATTGCTTATGTTTGAAATATGTGTTCTATCATCAGGCAACCCTGCTCAGCCCACTTCCCTCCACTACATGAATCCTTACCAGCTGAATGCCTATGGTATGGCACTGAAAGCAGTGGGAGAAATTGTTCAAGATTATGACAGTGATAAAATGTTTCCAGCTCTAGGTTTTGGTGCAAAACTGCCTCCAGATGGAAGGATATCTCATGAATTTGCTTTGGTAAGAATATATCAAAAGGATACCTTTTAATATTGCTTTGGAGTTTATTCTTTAGTTATATAGCAAGCTTTTCTGACTGTAGCTAAATTTTGGTAAGTAATTGACATTGGAATGTGAGCTTAATGGGAAAAAGAACAGCTAAATAGCTTAGCCATAAATCTACCTGAAGTGCACCCACCTCATTTACAAATAGGGGGTCTGTTTGGTTATCTATTGCTGTATAACAAACCTTCCTAAAACTTAGAGATATAAAACAATATCATTCTATTATGCTTATGATTTGTGGCTCAGGAATTCAAGCAGAATATAATGGGAGATAGCGTATTTTTTGCTTTGTAATATCTGGAGTCTTAGCTTAGGTGATTTGAATGGCTAGAGATGCCTGGAATTGGTGACAGGGGTCATATTTTTCAACTTAGTTCTGGCTGTCTGTTGAATTCCTTAGATCTTCTCCATGTTACGTCTTCTGGGGCTGATATGTCTCCTAACATGACTTCTTTGCTCGTGTTCATTCATGTCTTGGGCCTGAGATGGAATAGCTGAAAAGGTGGGGTTGCCTAGACAACTCTCCCTTGCTTTACATATAGCCTGTCTCTGTTGTTACAGAGGGCTTCATAATTGTGTGGTGGTCTCATTGTAGTAGGATTTTTTATGCAGCAGCCAACTTTCCCAGGGTGAGTATTCTAAAAGTCTGCGACAGAAACTCCAAGGATGTTTATATCATATTCTTAGAAGTCCCAGAATGTGATTTCTGCAACATCCTATTGGTCACGCAAATTATTAAGACCATCCCAGGTTCAGGTAGAAGAATTAACCTTCACTTCACAATGGAAAGAGTATCAAAGAATGCGTGGCTATCTTTAATCTACCATTGTTTTTAAAAGCTAAGAAAATAAATAATTGTGTTAAATTCATTGAGGTTTGTTAATTTTCCTTTCATATGTTTCTCTCAACCTTGAATTTGTCCCTTTCTCTGTCTCTGTAATTCTCTTCTTTGCTGCCTTTCCTTCCTCTATGTTCATTTCTTATAACCAAACCTATAATAAAAATATACAGGTTGAGCATCCCAAATCGGAAAAGTAAATGCTCCCAAATCTGAAAAAGATGCTCAAAGGAAATGCTTATCAGAGCAATTTGGATTTTGGATATTCAGATTTGAGAAGGTCAACTGGTAATTATATAAATATTTTAAAATCCAAAAAAAGAAATTCAGAATCTAAACACTCTGGTTTCAGATAAGGGATACTGAACCTGTCCTTAACACTTCCTGAAGTGTTAAGGAAGCATTTGTGCCTTACTTTCTCCTCCTCCTCCTCCTTTCTTCTTTCTTTCTTTCTTCTTTCTTACTCCTTCTCCTTCTTCCTTCTTCCTCCTCCTCCTTCTTCCTTCTTCCTCTTCCTTCTACCTCCTCCTTCTTCTTCCTCCCTCCCTCCCTTCTTCCTTCCTTCCTTCCTTCCTTCCTGCCTTCCTGCCTCCCTCTTTCTTTTTTCTTTTCTTCAACAGAGGCTTGCTCTGTTGCCCAGGCTGGACTGCAGTGGTGAGATAACTCCGCCTCCCCAGTTCAAGCAATTCTCGTGCCTCAGCTTCCTGAGTACCTAGAATTACAGGCATGCATAATACCTGGCTAAATTTTGTATTTTTAGTAGAGACAGGGTTTTCAGTGTGTTGGCCAGGTTGATCTCAAACTCCTCAGCTCAAGCAATCTGTTCGCCTCAGCCTCCCAGAGTGCTGGGATTACAGATGTGAGCCACTGTGCCTGGCCTTCATTTGTTCTTTGAGCCCAGTTAAAACACTTATAGGATAGATTTTGCTGGGGCTTCAATGTTTCCTTCCAGAGTTCAGGTGCTGCTAATGTAATAATATTCAGTGAGGCCTTTAAGAGCTGGTTGGTCTGCGAGGGCTCCTCCCTCATGAATGAAATTAAGGCCCTTATAAAACAGGCTTTACTCAGCTTGTCCTGCTTTCTGCGAAGTGAGAACACAGCATTCCTCACCTTTGAGGACACAGCCCTTACCGGGCAACTGAACCTGCTGGCATCTTGATCTTGGACCTTCTAGCCTCCAAAACTGTGAGAAATACGTTTCTATTGTTTATAAATTACCGAATCTCAGGTATTCGCATATAGCACAAACAGACTAAGAGAGGTCAGACTTCTTTAAATCTATGAAAAATAGTCTCCCATGCTAATGATGAATATAAGAATGATTATGTTGTTGATGATGATAATGTTTCAACTTTAGTCTTGCCTGATTATATTACTTTAAATTTTTCAAAGCACTTTTGTTTTCTCAGATAAGACAAGGGTTGAGTAGGTTTTCAGTGAAATAGTATTAGACTCAATCCTGAGTATTTACTGAGTATTGGGTCGCACACTTTATACTCATTATGTTATATAATCATCTCAAAATTCCTATGTGATAGATATTTCATGCTGACACATTGCACTGCTCTGGAAACTGCCAATCTCATTACCTGTGGTGAGAAAAGTGCTCCCAGGAGTTGTATAACGCAACTCAGAGGCTCAGAAGTTGACCATTGTCCCAAAGGACAGGACTTGAACCCAAGTCAGTATTATTTTAGAATTCATGCTCTTAACTACAGCTAAAACACATCTTAAAAAAGCACCTGTAATCTCACCTCTTGGATACATGCTTATGTTAACACCATGATATATGTACTTTTATGTAAGATTTCATCTTTCTCAAATATGTTTTAAAAGCAGTATTACATTGTTATTTTTGTATTTATTCTTTTCTATTTCATCACCTACAAAATTTCAAAAGAGGTTGCTGGAGGGCTTCTTTCTTCCGTGAAATAGCCCACATGCCACACTCCCAATGTCATATAAAAATGAGTATCTGTTGGGATTTTGTTGTGTCTTAGAAAATTAAAATCTCCAGAAACTTATAAAACCATGAAAATCACTCATGTGATTCTAAATCTAAAGTGCCTCAGGAAAAAGGTCATGAGCTATTTTAAAGACTAAGAAAAGGAATAATTGTGTTAAGCTAAATGAGAGGTTGATTAATTTTCTTTCTGTACATTTCTTCTTCTGCTAGTGTGTATTTTTTCCTTTTTCCCTTCCTCTACTTTTCTCTCTTGCTGCTTTTCCTACCATTTACCCCTTGTAACCAAACCTATAAAAGTATCTCCTGCTAAGGAATGATATATATTATTTATACCATAATCTGTTCCTTGAGCCCAATCCAAACATTTATGGGACAGAGATCATACCCCTTTAAATCTATGAAAAAGTCTTTCAAATTAATGATGAAAACAACGATTGTTGATGATAATGCCTCAACTTTAATATTACAGGATTATTAATTTTTTTCAAAGCAGTTCTGTTTTGTTGGATAAATAACAGGTATGGTTAAGTAGGTCTTCAGTTAGATAGTATTGTATTTGATTCTTGCTGAAGTGTCCTGTGCTAAGCTTGTCCTAAATTACTGCAATATGTATCTGTAGGAACTGAAAATGGCAAATACAAAAAGTTCAGTTTCAGGACAGCCTGGCCTTTCATGAACTACCTGGTGTTAATAAATCCTCATATTTCCATGGTACAAATTTGTGGTATATATTTACTAACATTAACCTATTTATCTCACCAAGTTTACATAATTCTTTTAGATAGCAAGGGAGTCTTCTGAAGAACTTAAGTATCCCCCAGTGTGTAAGTTTTGGCTAGCACAGATGTTAAGCTTTGCTGAGTTGAAAGGGTCTCAGTAAACCTCAGCTTTTTATGTGAGACACACTATGGGAAAAGAAAAAAGAATAGGAGAGAAAAGGAAGAATTTCCTGATATTACCATTCCAAGACTTACGGTTATGAAAAGAATGAGTCATTGCTCTCCGCTCATTATAATTCTTGAAGACTCCTTTTGGGGTTATAACTGAAAATGCCATCATGCGGAGCTCTGGTATATTTCTAATGAGCTTGTGGCCAGTGGTCATTAAAAGCAGGTCTTCCACGTGGACCAATAGAGAAACGCTAACACCTGTCCCAGTGGTTTCTCCTGCTAAATACCTAAATGCACTTGCATGCTTTTCGCTTATTTTGGCATTTATACAAATGTATGCAATTTAATATTTATGTGTATGTATTTTTTTCTAAGTAGACACCAGCAATTTAATAACCAAGAAGTCTTTAACACCGTACCATATATAAAACAGAAGCTCAATAGGTGTTTGTTTATTGAATAAAAGAAAGAATTCTCTCAGCTTTTCCCGACAGTAAGCAACAGTGACATTTCAGAATAGAGCGACAGCCCCTAAGAGCTTCTCTTCAGTATTTTGTCAGCTTGTTAGCCCTGCTGAAAAGTGTCACAGGCTGCAGGCAGCAGGCGGCAACAGAGATGACAGGCTTCTTGCATGATGCCGAATCCACACCCTCAGGACAATCCCTGAGGGAGCTAAATGGGAGGAAGAATGGGTGAGCGCTGGACACCCTCCCCACTTCAGTCTGAGTGGTGAGATTATTGATCATTTTAAAGTCAGATCTTTATGCTTTTCTATGTGTTCTACAAGTTGACATGTATTATTTTATAAATGGAAAGTTTAATTAGGAGGGAAATAGGAAATAGGGCATCCATTGTCCTCTTCATTAATAAGCAACAAAATTAAATGTGCTATTAAAAAAAATTATCCATGTTTTATTTTTGTGTCAGAGCCACACATGGACTCATTCTAATTTGTTTTAACAAGCAATAACTAATTCCCTGCATAACATTTTCAAGAAATGAGTTTTTAAACACACTTAAAAATCTATTTATTTCAATAGTTTTGGGGGAACAGGTGGTTTTTGCTTACATATGTAAGTTCTTTAGTGGTGATTTCTGAGATTCTGATGCACCCATCACTTAAGCAGTGGACTCTGTACCCAGCGTGTAGTCTTCTGTCCTTCACCCGCCTCCCACCTTTCCCCCTCGTCTCCAAGTTCATTATATCATTCTTATGGCTCTGCATCCTCATAGCTTAGCTCCCACTTGTAAGTGAGAACATACAATATTTGGTTTTCTATTCCTGAGTTACTTCACTTAGAATAGTGGTCTCCAACTCCATCCAGGTTGCTGTGAATGCCATTATTTTCTTCCTTTTTATGGCTGAGTAGAATTTGTGTGTGTGTGTGTGTGTGTGTGCACGCGTGTGTGTGTCTATACATTCCAAATTTTCATTATCCACTTACTTGTTTATGGGTATTTAGGCTGGTTTCATATTTTTGCAATTGCAAGTTGTGCTGCTATAAATGTGTGTGCGAGTAACAGACTTTAAAGTCTTTATAACTCATTACAACTTTCTCGTTAAGAAAATCTCATTTAGTAGCCATAAAATATTTAAAGTAATCCTGATATAATCCAGACCATATACTAAAAGGAAGGCATAATTTTATGTTGTAAGGTATTCTTATCATGTAAGACATATGAGGAAACCATAGAGCAACCTATTATGGTATTAGGACTAATTCAGAAATCAGTGCTTTAAACATTCCATGATGATGAATAGAAAATCTAATGATTACCTTTCCACTATCAAAGGAGAGAAAAATGATGACCTTGTAGTTTCAGTTCCAGAGAAATAGTGGTAATGTACAGTTTCATCAAAATGTAAACCTCCAATCAATATGCTAAAAAATAAAAGTAGCTCAGGACTACCCTAATTTGTAACTATTCCCTTAAGATAGATATATAATACATTTTTATATGCTCAAAATCAGTAATGAGTTTTAATTTTAATTAGCTTCATACCTTATCAAGGGAAAAGAGCACCATAAAATCTTAAAGGAGGGTTAAATAGGTCGCCTCAGATTAACATCAAAACTAAACATTAACTGCTTTGTGCTAAATGTTAAACTTTTCTTTTACATTCTATTTTCAGCCAAGTTATACAACCACTTTTATAATGTAAAGAGGGCTTTTATTATTTAATGCCTTAAAAAATGTATGAGGGTTAATAAAATGTTTGAAGAAAAGACAAAATTAAAAGAAAAAAATAGATATAAATCCCTCTCTACCAAATGATAGAAATAGTTGGTAACATTTGGCTCAGTTTTCTAAGATTCCAGCCTTGTAGAAAGCTTGGCATCTCATAATTTGGTGGCATAGTGGTGTATAAGAAATTGAACTCTGGAGTTAGACCGCCTGGTTCAAATATTAGCTCTCCTAGTCGTGTTGTGTGACCTTGGGCACAGTATCTAAGTTCTCATTACCTTGGTTTCTTTATGTATAAAGTGGGGTTAATGGCAGTCCTACATTTTTAGGGTTATGAAAGTTATATGTGTAAATATTTTAGTATAAAACCAGCACTTTGGGAGGCCGAGGTGGGTGGATCATGAGGTCAAGAGATTGAGACCATCCTGGTCAACATGGTGAAACCCCGCCTCTATTAAAAATTAGCTGGGCATTGTGGTGTGCACCTGTAGTCCCAGCTACTCAGGAGGCAGACACAGGAGAATTGTTTGTTCAGGTAAAAATATGTATGCTAATATTATTGCTAACCATGTTTAAATGTAGTTACTATCACTAGTGCATAAAAAGTATATATATATACATAATTTTGATATTCCCTTTAGAAAAGTGGACGGTATCTCCTTTTTCTCAGGTGTGAACAGCTTCAGTAACTCATTCTAGCAAATGCATTAAAGCAGGAGTGATGAAGTGTAACTTCAGAGACTGGCTCATAAAAGGCATTGGGGCTTTGTCCTTGCTCTTTGCTTGGGATTACTCAATCTGGGGAAAGTTAGTTGCTGTGTTATGAGAACACTCAAGCAGCCCTGTGGAGCATCCACTTGGCCTCCTGCCAACAGCCATGTCAGTGAGCCTTTTTGGAAATAGATCCTTCTGTCCACTGTCAAGCTTTCAGATGACTGCAGCCCAGGTCGGCATCTTCACTGCAACCTCATGAGAGATCCTGCTCAGGAACTACCCTGCTAAGCTGCTTCTGAATTCCTGAGACTTCAAAAATGTATAAGATAATAAATATTAATTGTCTTAAGCCACTGTACAGAGGGTATAACTTTGGGGGTAATTTGTTACATAGCAATAGATAACTAATACATGTTCTTATTTGTGTTATTGGTATCATTTGGACTAGGAGAATTAAACCTAATAACGACAGAGCATTTAAGGTATGAAAAAGCCAGCCTAGGTGTCCAGGGTTAAAGTTGCCTTTCCAGGTCCTGTCCCTAGAATAAGAGCTTCCATTAAAGTTGCCTTTCTGGGCACTGTTCTCAGAATAAGAGCTTCTTAGCAGCAACAGCAAGCCCCAGGTCCCTTGAATGACATGAGTATTTTTTTTTTATTCCTTTTCTTTTGCCTTGTCTTGATGTTTCCTACACCAAATTACATTCCCTCTGACTCCTTCTCTACTTAGAGTTATGAATTGTGGCCTGAAAATATTCATGTGGCAGATATTTTACATTTTTCCTCTATTGGGTTAAACTACTTGAATTGATAGCATTTATTTATCTAATTTTAATACATGTTTACTGCATAAAAATTGGAAAAACATAGACCAGGTTAAAGGACGCAAGGAAAGTTATCAGTTATCTAACCACCTAGAAGTAGCCACTATTAATACTTTGGTTTTCTTTTTAGGATTTCTATATGTTTATCTCCACATCTACACCAACCTGTGTAAATAAGATACTATTAATTTTAGAATGTTGTGGTGGTCAGCTTCTCTTAATATTATTTAAAATTTTCTTCTGCCATTTTTTTTTAAGAGTACGGACTTTTAATGATTGCACATTGTATGTTATGATCTTCATAATATATCATAATCTATTGTTGATCATGTAATGTATTGTTTTGCTATTGTAAATTTATAAATGAGTGTTCTTCCAAAAATATTTGGGTATCAACGTGTATTATTCTCTGGTCCTTTTCAATTGATATTTATGGAGATTTTCTCTTTTACTGTGGTTTTGTTTTTGCCTACATTTCTACAGAATGGGAACCCTCAAAACCCCTACTGTGATGGCATTGAAGGGGTCATGGAGGCTTATTACAGGAGTCTGAAATCTGTACAACTATATGGGCCCACCAACTTTGCTCCTGTGATTAATCATGTAGCAAGGTAAGTAGAGAGCAGACAAGGTGTCAATTCTGATGTACTGGACCATGGTGAACTCAAAACATTATTGTTAGCATGAATCGACAAATGAAAGTTGTTTTCTTTTAATTTGCCTCCAAGAAAGTGAAGAAAAAAAATGCATGTTAGAGTTTCTATCAAACTATTGTGATACTTTGCTGAGAAGAGTACATTAAAATCTCAAGAAACATACACCGGGTTATGTTAGGAACTATCTTTGTTCAACTAAGGAAAATGTTGTTTTCTTTGAAAAGGCATCTGTGAGAAAAATAACAAGATCAATGGCGAGCTCAACAGTGTAAGTCATTCATCTCTAATATCACATTCCATAGTAGCAATAAGTAGCATAGAAGTAATAAGAGACTGAATTCTATTAGCCGACTATTTGAAGCTTTCAGTGATATATAGGGCACATTATTTTAACCTTTCTGAAATGAATATAGTAGCTAATTTTATAAATTCCCAGAGCTCTACCTGTATATAGTACATAGTACTGAGACCAGAATATAATGCTTATGACTCCAAGTACATGTTCTGAAGAAAATGTTAAAATGTAAAAAATAAATCTACATATACTGTTTTTTCATTAGTACATAAATGGATTAAACACTTTTTAAATCCCTAGAAAATTCGGCCTATGTAAATACTATGACTCCCTGACTTATTTAGAGATAATTAGAAATTTCTTATCCTTTCAAATATGTACCCAGAACTCATCAAAATACCGAATTTCTTTTTCACGTTTACCAAGTATAAAGGCAATGTGAAACTCCAGTTCTCTGAAGGTTCTGGTACTTTACTACCTTCTCTAATATTACCAACAACTACAGTGTGCTCTACTTTTCATTATCTGGGACATGGACAAAATGCTAAAATATCCCTTACACCCAGGGCTTACCCCAGTGCAGCTTCCCTGTGGAACTCCAACTTAGGTTGACAGTGATACATTGATGACTGTTGTCTGAGTGTGACCCTTTGGCTTGAATTTTTCAGACATTTTCATCTGCAATCTACCAAAATATGAATTGTATTAATACATCTTAATCTTGTACATATATGACCCCCCACACAAAAAAAGTTATTCATGAAATGGTACTTTATGTTTTATCTTTATTTCTATGGCACTTGTTCTTTTCTCTTTTTTGAAAATGCAATCTTGACCCCCAAATTGATTTCATAATCCACTAATGATATATCCTAGTTTATTATACTAGCCTATGTAAGTAATGTCACATATACTGTATACTGATGGCAGCCAAATATAGCAGAATACAATGTTAATGCAAGATAAATTATAATTGACTGCCACACTACCATAGAGATCACTTTTTTATAAAAAGAAAAATGACAGGACTTATTTTGTGGGAGCTCGTGCTTATGATTAGGAAGGCCCTTATCAGTGCTTACCAAGTAATTTCATAACTTTTCCTGGTATATGTCTATTATAAAAGTTAAAATATTAGATATAAAATTTCTAGGTGCATTTCTATATACATTTCAAACCAAATGCTCCACAGTGTTCTATGATATTTTTTATGTTTTATACAGCATTTTGTAAGTTCTTGAATATAGGAGCAACTGCTAGTAAAATCTTTAAGACTCCTTGAAAATGAGCCATGATTCAATAATTCTTATTTTTTACATGAGAAAAATTAAGAAAAACAGTAAGATATGGCTTCTTAAGAATTATCTTTTCCTTCCAGTACAATAGGAAGTTCCATGTATCTGTTTTTTAAAATTATACTTCAAGGTCTAGGGTACATGTGCAAAATGTGCAGTTTTGTTACATGGGTATACACATGCCATGGTGGCTGGCTGCATCCATCACCCCATCACCTACATTAGGTATTTCTCCTAATGCTATCCCTCCCCTAGCCCCACAAATCCACAACAGGTCTCAATGTGTGATATTACCCTCCCTGTGTCCATGTGTTCTTATTGTTCAATGTCAACTTATGAGTGAGAACATGTGGTGTTCATTTGGTTTTCTGTTCTTGTGTTACTTTGCTGAGAATTATGGTTTCCAGATTCATCCATTTCCCTGCAAAGGACATGAACTCAACTTTTTTATGGCTGCATAGTATTCCATGGTATACATGTGCCACATTTTCTTTATGGAGTCTATCACTGATGGGCATTTTGGTTGGTTCCAAATTTTTGCTATTGTGTTCAGTGGCACAATAAATATATGTGTGCATGTGTCTTTATAACAGAACTATTTATAATCCTTTGGGTATATGCCTAGTAATGGGATTGCTGGGTCAAATGGTATTTCTAGTTCTAAATCCTTGAGGAATTGCCACAATTTAACTAATTTAACTATTTTACACTCCCACCAACAGTGTAAAAGCCTTGCTATTTATCCACTTCCTCTCCAGCATCTCTTGGCTCTTGACTTTTTAATCATCACCATTCTAACAGGCATGAGATGGTATCTCATTGTGGTTTTGATTTGCATTTCTCTAATGACCAGTGATGATGGGTTGTTTTTTTTTTTCATATGTTTGTTGGCTGCATAAATGTCTTCTTTTGAGAAGTGTCTGTTCATATCCTTTGCCTACTTTTGATGGCATTTTTTCTTGTAAATTTGTTTAAGTTATTTGTAGATTCTGAATATTACTCCTTTCTCAGATAGGTAGGTTGCAAATATTTTCTCCCATTCTGTAGGTTGCCTGTTCACTTTGATGATAGTTTCCCTTGCTGTGCAGAAGCTCTTTAGTTTGATTAGATCCCATTTGTATATTTTGGCTTTTGTTGCTGTTGCTTTTGGTGTTTTAGTCATGGAGTCTTTGCCCATGCCTATGTCCTGAATGGTATTGCCTAGGTTTTCTTCTAGAGTTTTTATGTGTTTTTATGTTTTACATTTAGGTTTTTAATCCATCTTGAGTTAATTTTTATATAAGGTGTAAGGAAGGGATACAGTTTCAGCTTTCTGCATATGGCTAGCCAGTTTTCCCAACACCATTTATTAAATAGAGAATCCCTCCCCCATTGCTTGTTTTTGTCAAGTTTATCAAACATCAGATGATTGTAGGTGTGTGGTGCTATTTCCAAGGCCTCTGTTCTGTTCCATTGGTCTATAAATCTGTTTTGTTACCAGTACTATACTGTTTTGATTACTGTAGCCTTGTAGTATAGTTTGAAGTCAGGTAGTGTGATGACTCCAGTTTTGTTTTGTTTTTCTTAGGATTGTCTTGGCTATGCGGGCTCTTTTTTGGTTCCATATGAAATTTAAGTTGTTTTTTTCCAATTCTTTGAAGAAAGTCAGTGGTAGCTTGAGGGGGATAGCATTGAATCTATAAATTACTTTGGGAAATATGGCCATTTTCAAGATATCGATTCTTCCTAAGGATGAGCATGGAATGTTTTTCCATCTGTTTGTGTCCTCTCTTATTTCGCTGAGCAGTGGTTTGTAGTTCTCCTTGAAGAGGTCCTTCACATCCCTTGTTAGTTGCATTCCTAGGTATTTTGTTCTCTTTGTAGCAATTGTGAATGGGATTTCACTCATAATTTGGCTGTTTGTCTACTATTGGTGTATAGAAATGCTTGTGATTTTTGTACATTGATTTTTGTATCCTGAAATTTTGCTGAATTAAGGAGACTTTGGGCTGAGACAGTGGGGTCTTCTAAATATACAATCATGTTGTCTGCAAATAAGCATGTTAAAGAATGCTTATTCTTCTTAAGAATAACAGTTTTAAGCTCATTTTTAGGGCTCCTATCTATGTATCTCTGATCTGTTTGACTTGCTAGATAATATTAGCGAGATAACAATGGTGTAAAATAGACAAGACTCAAAGCGTTAAATTTACAAAATTTGAAGGTTTTATATGCTTTTTTGAGGCTTTCCAGCCCCTGCTTCTGATTTCTTGCCTTTCCAGTCCTCCTTTCCCAGAGCTGTCTGGAGAACAGCATTTCAAATGATATAAAATCCTACTCAACATCTGTTGATGCCTTGTCATAAATTTAAGTACAGACAGTTTAACTGCATGTTAGAACATCCAATATTCAACCAGTACTAACCCATCCAACCACATTTCCACATTCTCCCAAATGTACTACACTTCAGTCACAGATTCACTGCTTCTTCTGACCTATATCATTCCTTGCATATGTCTAGTACTAATTTGGCACTACTGTGGCTACATGTAGATTTTTTCCACACTGAAAGGAGCAATTATTCCTTGTGAATTATTCATATACATGCACGTATATGCATATACAAATATGAACCATAGTACTTTGGATATACTGAGATATCTGTACCTGTTTGCTTAATTAAATTATCTGAATACTATATGAAGGTTTTTTTGTTTGTTTGCTCTGTCGCCCAGGCTGGAGTGCAGTGGCGTGATCTCAGGTCACTGTATCTCTACCTCCTGTGTTCAACAAGCAGTTCTTCTGCCTCAACCTCCCAAGTAGCTGGGCTTACAGGTGCCTGCCACCATGCCCAGCCAACTTTGTATATTTAGTAGAGATGGGTTTTGCCATGTTGGCCAACCTGGTCTTGAGCTCTTGACCTCAGGTGATCCACCTACCTCAGCCTCCCAAAGTGCTGGAATTATAGGTATAAGCCACTGTGCCTGGCCAAGTTAATTTTAGTTAACAAAGTTATATTAGGAAACTAAAGAACTTTTTTGTTTTTGAGACAGTCTCTGTCACCCAGGCTAGAATGCAGTGATGCGATCTCAGCTCACTGCAACCTCCACCTCCCGGGCTCAAGCAATCCTCGTGCCTCAGCCTCCTGAATAGCTGGGATTACAGGCATGCACCATCATGCCCGGCTAAGTTTTTTATTTTTAGTAGAGAGGGGGTTTCATCATGTTGGCCAGGCTGGTTGGTCTCCAACTCCTGGCTCAAGTGATCCACCCGCCTCAGCCTCCTATGTTCTGGGATTACTGGTTTGAGTCACTGGGCCTGGCCTAAAGACCCTTTTAAATGATAATGCTTAACCAATCTTAATGAACTGTGGAAATGTGATTGTGATTAACACCTACTATATCAGCCAGGGTTCTCCAGAGAACAGAACCAGTAGGAGACATATTGACATGGACATAAAGATATAGAGATATATTTTAAGGAATTGGCTTGTGCAATTTTAAGGGATACCAAGAATGTAATTTATAGGACAGGTTGGTAGATAGGAAACTCAGGATTTCATACTGCAGTCTTATGTCAGTATCCTCTTTTTTCTGGGAAACCAGTTTTTGCCCTTAAGGCCTTCAACTAATTGGATGAAGCTCCTTTAAAGGCATTAGATGGTAGATATTAACCACATATATAATCTTTGATTAAATAAGTGGAATTTACAGTCTAGTTGACACATAAGCATTATCATCCTTCTGACGAAAACAAAGAAATACATTGCCATCATGTTGTAAATTGACAACAAATTTAAATTCTGAGCAAGAATTTTAGGGCCTTCCAGATTTAAACTTAATACTATGTCTAAGGTCTATAACACTATGTTGAAATATTATTAATCAAAATAGAAAGATATTTTTAAAATAATGGTTTTGTGGAATGCAGTTTGAAAAATGGGGTTTTAACCAACCCCTGATTAGTCTGTTTTCCTCTTGTGTATGGTGTTAACCATTTTTACATTCCTGTTATTTTAAAAAAAATTTTTCTATTCATCTAGAATTCTTCATAATTTTAAGTAATTTGAAATAAATTTGTTGGTATATTATACCAGCTTAATAGTTCAAAAATTAATATACCAATGAAAATTTCAAATATCTTTTCAGACTATCATGAAAATGTCTTCATTTGATTTAAATGTATTCATTATTTCCTGTTAGTTTTTTGCTTCCTATGCCTAATTAGTTACTTGTTTTGAGGCTGTCACATTTCAGTTTTTAAGGGGGATTTATCATTTTCTACCTTTTGGCCATTTATAATTTTTTTCTGTTTTTTCTGATGTTGAGAACCTTCTAAATCCAGATCACTATCCAAAATAAATTTTCGTTTTTTAGGAAATAACTTTTTATCTTGGAATTCTCATAACTAATTTTCAAATTAACTCCTCTGTTATGCTTTATTCAATCTGCACAATTAATAATAAAATAAAAACAGTAAAATCTTATGGAACCCATTATCTATCTTTAGCAACATGTTCAGTGCTATAATGTGGATTATTCATCTTCACAACAACTCTAAGAGGTGACAGTAGTGCCATTTCCATTTTGCTGATGATAAAATAGATACATAGGGGCCATTTGTGGTGGAACTAAAATTCTAACCAGAATAATCTTACTCGAGATCACTATGTTATGATGCCCTACATCTTTAAGCCTTTTTATCTCTGCTATAGAGGTAAAGACACAAAAGAAAGTGTAACAAAGCTCTCTATCTTTGTGCATGCAGTGATCAGTTCATTGCCCAGTCAAAAGTAGTTTGGGGTGACACTTGGTAACATAAAATTTGCTGTGCTACTTTGGGTTGAAATATTTAAATGCATTCCTTTATTCATTGTTAAGTTTTAATCCATTGTGTAAATCATAATTAAACTACTTAAATGAAACATCCCTAAGTCAGTTTATCTTGTTTTCTTGTGAACTAATAAGCTGAACGAATATTTCACAAATCTGAGCCAACTAGATATGAGCTTTTACGAAAACAATCCCAGAAACTTATTTCAAAGAAATGCAAAAGAAATGTGTTTGAATTCTACTACACTGACAAAAGTTAACCTCTCTCTCAGATATATCATGGTAATATTAAAATATAAATTATAGATAGGCTATATTTCAAAAAAGACAGCTGGCTTTTAATAAGACTTAATTATGCACTCTATAAAAGGATGCCCCATCAAATTCTTTTAAGAAGCAAGCCTTGCTAATACCTTTATAATATAATTTGAATCTGAGTCTATATGTCAGTGTCACCTCCTAGAAAATGTACTGAGGTGTGGCCAGCTTGTAATTTTTACTTCATCCGTTTCTGTAGCATGTTAATTATTTTATGTAATATTTTTAAATTAAAAACTAAATTAGAAGAAATGGTAGTACTTTAAAAGGCTAAATTAGAAGAATGAATGGTAGTGCAACATTGATTTAAAATTTAGATTTACTTGCAAAGTGCAACAATGTGCCAACATGTAGAACAAGTGCCATAAAAGCAAAAGCTTTTTTAGCAGCAGACATGAACAGTACAGTTATTCTAGTGTGTTATTTCAGATAATTGTGTATTTGAGAATTTGTGTAAGATATACTTCTAACATGTCCAAATGTTTTATTGAGATTAAAATGTTTGGCCAGGCACGGTGGCTGGGAGGCTGAGGCAGGCGGATCATGAGGTCAGGAGTTTGAGACCATTTTGGCCAACACAGTGAAACCCCGTCTCTAATAAAGATACAAAAATTAGCTGGGCTTGGTGGCAGGGGCCTGTAATCTCAGCTACTCAGGAGGCTGGGGCAGGAAAATAACTTGAACCCGGGAGTCAGAGGTTGCAGTTAGCTGAGATTGTGCCACAATGCTCCAGCTTGGGAGACAGAGCTAGACTCTGTCTCAAAAAATATATATATCTTGAACCCCTCATACTTGATTCTGGCATCACCTTAAAGTAACAAAGCCTTTAATTAAAAAAAAAAAAAAAAGGTAACTTTTCCAAATTGCATTTACCAACCATCACATATAGAAAACGATTTTACTTTCCTTACCTTTTTGTTGCCTTTCAGATATGCTTCTTCTGTAAAGGATGGCTCCCAGTATTTTGTGCTTCTGATTGTTACAGATGGTGTTATCTCAGATATGGCCCAGACTAAGGAGTCCATAGTTAATGTAAGTAGGGGTCACTCAGTATTGGGCAGGCTACGTGACAACATGATGCTACTTAAAGACTAGAATCTATTTTAGTTAACAATAAAATAAAATCCCCACACCTTTGAGGCAGATTGCATCCTTAACCTTATCCAGACAACGCATATACATCTGTACCATTGATCCATGGGGACCAAGCTAAGGGGTATGACTATTTGAGTTAAAAAAAAATCTTGCCTAAAGAAAAAAAAATGATAATAGCATAACTTTCACAGGCATGGGTGTGTTTACCTCTGTTAGTTTGATCTATTTGTATACAATCGTGTGATTTGTACAGATTATTTCTTAACATTTGCATTCTAGTTGGAGGAGAACTAAAATACCTAATTGCTGTTTTTGTAGAACAGGATAGTAACTGATTAAAAAACCATCCTGCTCATTATAATTCCTAATTGTGTGGTTTTTTAGGGTTAGATTGTTTACTAATCTATAAAATCTATATTTACTAGATGATAATCTGTAAAGTAATAGTTTTTACTCACCAGTCTCTAGGTTTAGCAATGTTTGGCATGAAGTACGCATTTGATGACGTAGGCTGCAGGAATGAATTGCATTAATATGCACTTTAAAATATAGACTTAGTAATTTAGGCTTAACTAAGAGGACATGATGCCCTGAGAAATAATTAGTCATAATTCAGAGATCTTCATAGAGAAAGATGTGGTGGTTGTGTCTGTTGCTGGATCTATCTCACAGTCTTACAATTAAATTATTTAAGTGATGATATGTGATGTATTTTATGGAAAAAACACGAAGTATTTAGCCTCCCTCAAAATCTCAAGGCTATTTAGTGCATAAACTACTAACTTTCTGTAATTATCATTTGTGTTCACTCACTCACTGTGAAAATTGCTTTTTCTAACCTTGGGTATAAATGAGGTAGATTAGGGTACCACTTTCTCCCTTTAGCAACTTAAAGATTTTTGGAGGAGAAAGAACATGAAAAGAGGACAAAGATACCCAAAGCCGGCTTAGAAAGTTTTTTTCTGAGAGTAGCAAGTGGAAGTAGATGCCGCTTACCTTTTATTCGATCTTACCCAGGGCTGGTCATCTCTGAAGAATGTCCCCCAGGATTAATGTGTATAGAGTTTGGAAAGGATAAGAATGGAATCAAGTATACTATTCTGTATTAATCATTTTGACTATGCTCACATTGTAATGAACATCTGTGAAAAAATATTAAATAAAATTCCAGCTATATTTGCTTATTATTCCTTTTTCAATTTTTTTTTCAGACAGGATCTTACCCTGTTGCCCAGGCTGGAGTGCAGTGGCATGATCATAGCTCACTGCAGCCTCGAACTCCTAGGCCCAGGTGATCCTCTCACCTCAAACTCAAGTAGCTAGGACCTCAGGCACACACCACCACATCTGGCTAATTCTTTTTTGGTACACATGGGGTCTTGCTATGTTGCTCAGGCTGGTCTCAAACTCCTGGCCTCAAGCAATCCTCCTCCTTTGGCCTCCCAAGGTTCTGGGATTTCAAGTGTGAGTTATCATGCCTGGTCTTTAATTATTTTAAGAACTCAGTTTCTTAATTGAAATCTAATTGTGTATTCTCTTTGAAGGCCTCAAAACTTCCAATGTCAATAATTATAGTAGGTGTTGGACCAGCAGAATTTGATGGTGAGTAGTAAAATTTTAATAATACTCCTTGGGAATTTAATCTGACGTGACATGCTCTTAGGTTTCTGCCATTCTTGTCTCTGTAGAAGGATGGGACTGTGTATTTGGGTTTGTATATAATGTTCATGTGTCCATATATAGACATATATATAGATAGCTTGTGATTATGTCTATTAAGGTGTGCCAATTAAAAGATCCTGTCTTTTGACTAGGATATTATCTCTCTAGTTTATAGATTATTTCAACATGTAGCTTTCCATTTCATTAGAGCTAGTTTGTACTCAAAATGGTATTTCCTAAGACTGACAGAGTGATAAATTGAGTTTTTGTTCCCAAGGCAAAACACACTCTGGGTTCACTAAAACCCTTCAAGGATGAATGCTAAATTAATAAATCATTAGGTTGTGAAAAGAAATGTTAACATAAGCATAATATGCTAATTTAATGGGTTTTCAGGCCCTAGCTAGTTGATAGACATTAGCCTTATAAATGAAGTTTTGTCATATGGAAAAGCAAAGTAAAATGAAAATGGAGCTGACCAGCATTGGCATAGTGGGTAGGTTTTTATTCAGGCTCAGACCTTGTTCAAATGTCAGTTAAGAGGCAATGTTTGTGTAACACATGATCCAGGTAAACCTTTTAAAGGATAGTGTGTTCCTAGTCATCTGATAAATTCCTTTAAGAGAGCCTAAAGTACAATTACAAAAAAAAAAAAAAAAAAAAAAAAAAAAAAAAAAAAAAAAAAAAAAAAAAGCAAAAAAGCA